ATAGGAGCCTATATAAGAAAAAGACCCAAAAATCGGGACTGTCCCTATAAAATCGGACATCTCGGTCACCCTACTCCCCCCCCTTCCCGCTTCTCCCTCTGCCCCTCCCATTTGGGAATTGGTTGGGCAGTGATCGCCTCTCCTCTCTCCACCCCCCCCTTTAAGGAGCAGGATAATCGCCTTTTTACTTCTCTGCCTGCTACTTTCCCCCTGTTCCCTCCAATTTGTACCCTCGACCCGGGGTAAAAGGGCAGCACCTGTCTCTTCCCCCTCTCCCCCTTTGGAAACAGGTCAGTATCATCCTGCACTGGGAACAAGACACCACCAAGTTTCTCCATGCACTATTATCGAGAATGGGGGAAACACCCTGGTTTCAGCTATCTCTTTCTTTCTTCACTTTCGACTCCTCTCCCTTTTTTTTTTTAACATACTGGTGAGTTATATGGTTGCAAAGTTTCCCTCCATTGCTGCTGGAAACAGGACGCCAACTTCATCATTATAATCGTTTCAGTCTACATGTGGAGAGACTGCAAATATGTCTCCGGGGGAAAAATGGTTTTCTGGTTCGATCAAGACGTTTGGTAAAGATTATTTGGGGAAGGGAAAGGACCCCATGCTGTGAGGAGACATTGTGATGGATAGAAAGGCACTAGATAAAGACTTTGGATAAAAGAGGAGAGGGTGATTGTGAAGCTGTGTGTTGCCTTGCTAACAATGCAAGTTGGAACCCCTGCTAAATCTGTTCTGTAGATCTTGGTATTTTATGGAGTTATGCATGTGATCACCTCCAGGCTTTCCTTACCTGGAATGCCCTGAGACGAAGGGGGAACTTCTTTTAGTACCAAATGACAGGTTTCAGAGTAGCAGCTGTGTTAGTCTGTATCCGCAAAAAGAACAGGAGTACTTGTGGCACCTTAGAGACTAACAAATGTGTTAGTCTCTAAGGTGCCACAAGTACTCCTGTTCTTTTTAGTACCAAATGGGTCCCTTCAAAAGGACCTGGCAGACATTTTTCCTTAATTGCCCCGTCTCCAGTTCTGCCCATTGATTGCTGATGGGAGGATTCAAAGCATGGCTGCTGCAACTGGGATTATTATTTGTTACTTGTTTTACTATTTGAGTATCTGGGAATATTCTCAGTACATTCCAAAACAAAGAGCACAGTCTCTGCCCTAACAATACAGCATGACATAAGTGAGTGTCCTAATTATGCAAGAGAAGAGGGAAAGATTTAGGTGATGATATTATCATGCATGTGATGTTTCCTTACACATCTAGTAGGTGAGACTGCAGAAGTAAATTTCACAAGGATTTTAAATGTGGTGAGGGTTGTGGCTTATTGATTAGTCTGGGGACCCTTTATGCATATGGGACAGCATGGAAGAAAAGCATGAAGACAAAGGGAGTATGAAGGCTGGCAGGGAGAGGGAACACACAATGAGACCAGGTCAAAGTTGTAGGCAGGAGCACTATGAATATTGGGCCTTGAAGTCGAGGATAAAGTAGGATTCCATGCACAACACAGCAGGGAGCCAATGAAGTGATTCAAAGGGAATGACATGGTTGAAGTAACAGTTGAGACTTTTTGCAAAAACATTTTGGACAGAGCAGGGTTTTCAGGGGTAAGATAAGTATTGGAAAGATCCTGAAAGAACAGGTTGCCATAGTTGGAGTGGGATGTGTGGGGAAAAGTGGCTGTTGGGGCAGAAAGGAAGGAGTGGATTTTAGAGCTATTGTAGAGGAAGAAACAGCAGAACTTGATCAAAGCCTGGATATTAGGGAAAAGAGAGAAGTGGCAGCTGACCCCCAGATTATGGGCTTGCATGACAGGAAGTAGGGTGGTCATATGGACCCAAACAATGGGGAGAGAGCATGGAGGAAAAAGATAATGAGCTTGTTTTCTAGTTGTCTCCCTGCTGAGTGTGGAACCAAAGGTGGTTTTCGTAGCACGTGCAACCCCCCCCCCCCCATAAAAACAAAACTATTGAGGTGATGTAGGAAATGCTATGAGCAACAACTGGTGAGTACCAAACAGAGCTTCTGATATATGACTGTTCTAAACAGTTTTCGAGGACAGCTTAAGGCAGGGCACTGTCTTTTGCTGGTAGTTCTGTAACTTCTCTGTAAGTTTTGCAGTAAGCCTTCCTCCCTGATTTCTGGAGCACAAACTTGCTAGCTTTTGCTGCAGGTGCACGAAAACTTGAAGTTTTCATTAACTCCAATGTAGACAAAGCTAGGTTGATGGAAGACTTCTACCAGCAATCTAGCCTCTTGGAGAGGTGGATTAACTACAGTGGTGGGAAAAACCCTTCCTGGCAACGTAGGAAGCAACTACACTGTAGCAGTGTGGCTGCCGCTGTAGTGTTTGTAGCGTACGCATACCCTGAGTGACTGTCCATGGTTACCGCCAATAAGCCATTGACTCCGATATTTCCAAGCTGATGACCAATGTCCTGCAAGAGGGATCTGTCTTTGTTTTGTGGGCAGAGTAAAGCTGAGAGAGAGGAGCATTAAATTGGATTATAAAACTGCTTCGGTGTGTAGCAAAAGCTTTGTTGATCGATGAGGAAAGAGGGTCAGAAAACCAGCATGGGGAGACCAGAAACAAAAGTTTTTTTTTTTTTAATACTCTACCATGTAATTGCACAACTGTAGTAACCTTATTAGTTTTTCTAACACTGTTTTGCCCATTTAAAAAACAAACAAAAACTGCTCCACAATTTATGTAGGGTTTTAGTGATATTTTTGTGTGGAAGGAAGAAGGGCTTGGTGTGTGCATGTGTGTGTGTGTGTAGAATTAAAACAATACTTACCATCTTGCTGTTTTATTAAATCTCTTGCTACACAGTGACTACAACTAGCTTACGTGTAGTTTAATGGCAGGCTTAGAACACTTGCATTCCCTGGAATGAGCTGTTCCATTCCTGACAGAGTTGACTGATCTGATTCCACGCTTTCCAAGGTAGGTGGGTTGAGTTCCATGCAGTCTGCTGTCTGAGCCCTTTGGAGGAGACCTTAAACAATGAGATCCTGTTTTAGTCTGAATGGAAAACAAAACAAAATAACCACAAGGTCCTTTCTTCAAGAGAAGGGCTTTGTTCTCTTGTTCTTGTTCAAAATTTCTCTTTTCCCCACTATTGTGCACACTGGGCTGGCTGCACTCCTTTGTAATACAAACTCCAAGGTGGTGTCTGTTTTGTCAGTTAGGGTGGGGTATTTGTATTTGTGACACCGGTTTAGTACCAACTACTAGTAATGCGTAAATTTCTAGCTTGTCAAGCCCTGAAGGATTTTCACAGGTGGAAAGAGTAGGCACCTGTCTTAACATGTCTCCAAACAGGTTTTCAACTTGCCCATTTAAAATTCTTCACCGTAATGGTTCAAAATAGTGTTCCTAAATTGCTCTGGACCATTATTGTAGAGTACTGTATGTAGCCTTGTATATAAAAAGGCTGGTGAAGATTTGTTATCACTGTTAACCAGTTTACACACTTCTAATTTGGGGCCTGTCTGTGCCAAAAGTATTAGTGCATGTTAGCACATTTGTCTTCTGTTGTTAAGGACATCCCAAAATCTAACTCCTTTTAAAACAAATTGATACTGTGCAGGAAGAGGTATCTGAGTCTATAACTATTAGGCAGGTGATGGTGTTAGTGCACAGTTGCAGCTATGTTGTAGTCAGACGCTGACACTGAGAATATAATTGTATGATTTAAATGTAAATGTTGGAGTATAGATCCAATGAAGCGAGAAAACTATTGTTGAATTACATTACTTGGACATAACAGCAGTTTCTCATTGTTCCTCTGTTGCCGAACATGTAGAAGAGATTGTTGTTTACAGGCCGTGCGGGTATAATTCTGAGTGGTGAATGCAATTGTGTGGTGGTGTTGTCTCATCTCAATATTCCTCTTTTGATCACTCTCAACTTAGTGCACAATAAAGTGGGCAATAATTCGTCAACTTAATGATGTACAACTTTGCCTTTATAGTTGGGTCATCTTGATCTTGCCTTGCAATAGTCCTCGAACTGTCAGAAAAATCCCTGTTTATAAAAAATCCTACTGACAGTCCCTCAATCTTAAAGGAACATTACTAAGACCCCTGGTATGCATTGTGTGTGTTTTTAAAACAGATTATGTAAACTTCTTAAGATAGCGTAATTGAGCGAAGGCTCTTTCTCAATGGCCGAGGAGGGAAGACGCAAGGAACATTTGGGAGCCCTGGCAGTATTTTGAATGAGGGATAGCAGCAGTTGGAACCAGGGGCTTGGGAAGCTGTTGGAGCATTTTGGACAGGGAGAAAACCTAATACTGTCCAGAACAAACAATGCATTGTGGCTTTTAACTGATAAAGTCGCATGTGCTCTCAGTGCATCTGATTTAGGAAAAATAGCTTTTGTCCACCATATTGGATGATCTGGAATATTGGAGTCTGGTATAAACACAGTGAACTGGACTTGTTTTGTCAAAAGGAAACTTGGTCTTACATTTCACAT